AGAGAAAGGAACATTACAACGTTTTCTATATAAAAATCCGCCAGTTGCCCGGAGAGCTCAATTCAGTTGAGCGATGGGTTAATAGCTATTTTTTTTTTTTAAATTACCCTTTTCTCAAGTGAGCTCAATCGTATTTCCCAGGAGCATATATATATATATATATATATATATATATATATATATATATATATATATATATATATATTATAATTTAGAGACAGACTGTTTCGCTGTATCACATCTCTTCAGTGTGGCTAGACCTCCAATTTCTTCAAGCCGGGATTGTAACCAGACGGATTTGGCATCGTATGGATATTAAATTGTCCTTCCTTCTTTTTAAATTATTTGCTTGCTGGCTTCAATTTATTTATGTGTTAAAAAGCCAATAATTCATGAAATTTGACATCTCATATTACCTGCTTTCATACGTCAAAATTAATTTTTTTTCTGTTTTAAATACATGGCTTTATGCAATTTCTGTTATGGTTTAATTTCTCTGAATATCTGAGGAATTCAGCTCCCAAAATCCAAAATGTCATATAACGTCATTGGGTTCATTAAGTGTTTATCTCACTTTTGGACGGCATGTGTTAATTAGTACACATATAATCGAAATTTTAAAAAGTGATACTGAATCTTTAGATAGAATTAAAGAAAAAAAAACATTTCCTGCATGAGAAACATACATGACATTAAATATATTTAAAATCAATTAATTAAAACTGTTTAAGTGACTGATAGCTGAAATAAAATCTGTCACTAATTAATTAAGGAAAGAAAAATGTACTGCACTATCACACAAAGAAATGTCTGCTGATTCCCTTCGCGATTGAAACAAGCACAGCATACTGATTTTTCCCCATCGCTTGCTGTTTCGCAGAAATGTCATATGTTGATCGTTACTGATCAAAGTTAGGAATCTGGTAAGGTTCATGAAAAGAATGGCTGTCATTTACTAGTATATAATGTATAGTACCTTAAACAAGTCACAGTCAGCATAGCTATTCCCTTGGTACTAAATATCTTATATTATGAGTTGACATTTAGGTATTTTCTGAACATTACAGAATTAAGCCTTGATATTTTGGTCATTGCTGCTATTAGCTTATTTACTTTCTACTCTGAAACCACATACATACTGCTAGTCAGTCGACAATGGAATTTCAAAGAGATTTTACTCATCTGGAAATAATTCACCAAATTAGATTACCTGACATTCAACATTCACTGACATATCACAAGCAAAATTTAAAGAAAAAAGATTTTCGTTGCTTTTGTTAGTCGAGGGTTTAATCCACTAATGGAAATGACATATCGATACAGAAATAGTTCTTATTCAGTATATATCAAAGTGGAAAAATTCATGAGTACAAGGTGCATTCAAAAACATTTTAGACATTTTTTTCAGAGATAAATATAAGTTTACTAAATTATTTTTTTCTTTTAGTATTTAATAACTATACATCTAATACGTTGATTTTCGAACTTTTGTTATTACAGTTTGAAAGAGACGGTTGTAAAATCTCTATTAATTTATCATACTAATCACTGCTTGTCATAGCGAACAAGATTGCAGAATGCAGTCAATAGGAGCAGACGATTCGAAAAGTCGCTATGCAATAAAGTACTGTGTTAATCTGGGCAAAAATGCTACAGAAACGTACGAAACACTCCAGACTGCTTATGGATTAACTTGTATTAGACATACACTTGAATTATGTCGGTATGTACAAGAGATTAAAAGACGGTGGAGATGATGTGAGGGATTGTGCGATGTGGCAGGGAGACAATGTGGACGTAAAAACATCAGAGCTGGTTGAGAAAATTTGTAATTTTCTGGATGTGTCTTCAGCATAGAGACTGGAGTTGGGATGGCACAGAATTTTTCATGAAATATGAAGATGCGCAAAATTTGGGCAAAGCTTGTTCCCGAAGTGCTCAGCGACGAACAGAAAAGCAAATGCGTTGGTAACAGATAGTTGAGTGTCATCAAAGTACCTCGTCTAGACCTCCATCCATAAAGGAGTCTGTAAGAATTCTCCTGGGCATATTCACTTTGGATGACTTCCATAGTGAGTGGCTGGACCGCTACAACTCGTTCATTGAAGCCTGATGATCCTACTTTGAAGGCGATTAGAGTTTTGTACATTGAAATTAATAAAAGTCTGTACTGAAAATTCCTCGAAACTCTTGGAACACATCTGGTTTTCACTAATGTTCCGCTTGCCGAATAGACAGCACAACTAAATATTTAAATAAGGAGAACCCCATATTTTATTTCAACGACATAGTAAATAAAAACAGCTTCTCTATTAATAAGCAGATGGAGTAATGTTTAACGCCTCGAAATAAGAAGTATTTTTGCGTATTTCAGTGAGCCAGGTTCGAGAGTATGTCGAAGTCATTATATTCATTTAATCGCAAATACACTGTTCACCCACGTAGTTATGGGTTAAATAGCAGAAAAGACTAGACTTTCGAGCTTTGATTGGGCATCATACTGATGCCCAATCAAAGGAACTTTCTGAATATAAAACCATATTTGGGCCTGCGACGAAAATTACAGGTTGCCGTTTCGGACGTAATAGCACCTGGTCGATACCCCCTGCCAGGGTTACAGTTATGACAATGGCAGAAGAATGCTGCAAATGCTCAATGACAAAGTCTCCCGGAACAAATTAATGGCATACAGATATAATGGTGTCACGCAAAAGTAACTTTCACAGTATCAATGGATAACAGCTATTTATTGCTAGTCATATGGAATAAGAGAGAAGATATGAACTAGTAGTGTTTTCTAAGATATACGCAAATAGAACCCATATTACGTTTGTCATACGGACGTATTCAGAAGAGTCAGGATATACGTATAGATTAACTATTATAAAAGCAGTAGATGGATACGTCGTACTGAATTCGTGTTATCGTCTCCTCATTTGTAACCATTTTGAAGGAAAGTTCTGGCGGGAAACTATTTCTTCTTTCTACAACTGTTAGTTAAAATGCCAGATGTAAGTGGCTCTTTTTTTTGGTTGGCAATCCATTTAGGAAAAGGACAACTCTGAATTAAAAAAAAAAAAACTCATATCTCGAAATGAAAGTTGTCTTGAACGGCCACTTTTCTAGATCTTTTTGAATTAATGCGGGTGTCCCTCATTGCACTCACTTTGTTCTTACGTTGTTATCTAAATTTCATTAAAGAAAATTCTCGATGTCATCAGTTCTTTACTGTGTATCTATGCTGATGACACAATGATTTTCTCCTGTTGTAACATTGGTCGATATGTCAAATTTGATTCTGATCTGAAAAAAAAAATACAATCTGTTGTTAACTTGGTTAAGATATGGCTTGTTGATTTTAACGCATCTAATGCGAGCTGGTCTATTTCAATCATCTTATAGAATCTTTTTTGGCTTCCATCAGTATGGCTTGTGCTCACCGTCAGGATAGAAATCTATTACGCCTTTTCTGACGTTAAGAGGAGATGTTATATTGAATCAGTTGCGAAGTGTGTTGCTTGGAAATTCTATTCACGTAAATCATGATAAATTCCCGGAAAGAAAAATAGTTTATCTTACGCATTTGTAATTCTTCCGGGCACTCGATATTGCTGCCAATTTTTGTTTGGTGCTTTTGATATATATTTAGTTATTCTTGATAAAATCCAAAGAAGAATATGCAATGTTATATCACCTGACCTGCATCTCGGCTTCTGCCTCTTTTCTCTTCACCCCCTCGCCATAAAAAAGATTCTCTTTGCCTTTTCTATAACTATTTTCATGATGTTTTTTTTTTTTTGGATAATCTTTCCTCTTTTCGATGTCGACTTTACGGATTTATGTGCAGTACCAGATTGGTAACAATGGTTCTTATTTTTAGGCTAGGTGTGACCGTAAGATCTTTGTTGACAGTTTCTTCAGGAACTCTCCACCAGCTTCTTAATTTCCTGCCAACTTCAAAAATTGAAATGCAAATATATTCTCTCTTCAAAAATCATGTTCCCTCATTATTCACTCTACCTAATAAGGTTTACTTATTCTCATATTTTTTTACAGTCAGTAACCCTTGCATCTTAGTGGCCATGTTGTCATGTTTGCGTTGGAAATAGCAATAGGAATATGTTTCACTCTGTTAACAAACAGACCATGGCATAATAACGATGATAAATCGATGGAGGAATATGATGAACTTAGTCGTGACATTAAAAGAAATTACATTATAGGGTTGCATAACATTACATAAATTAATACAGGAATTAAATTAACGTGATAAAACCATTTACAACTTCACAATGTCGATTACTTTCAATGACATCATATGTAAACGGAATAACGAAAACGGATATACTGTTTTGATTATTCTTTCATTCTATTAAAATTTAGAGATTTCTATTAAGACACGAACACTGTTACCATCTGAAGACGTTAATCAACATAACGTGGGCTAAAAGCGATCAACGAAGGATTATTTAACAGTGGGGGCAGTTGATAATGTGACATGTCGACAGCCTAAATCCTCTACAACCACGTAAGTAATCTCCATAAGCGTCGCCTATTAAATGATTCCATACAGACTCGTATATAAATAAGCCAAGTAAATGACTACTGACTACAGTGGAAACCAAATAATGTTTACGTATAGTATGATCTACGAATATTTATCTATATACTCAAGTGTAAATGAACAATAGTTACCTATTTCGAAAAAAAAGTGGATACATATTATCAAATATATATATTTAAATCTAGGTAGGGCATTAAATAAGCGAACAAGGGTTAAAATTCAAGGACACTACTCGACCACAGTTAACCGAATGACTGGGCATAAACGTAGATCTAAAAATTAGAAGGTCCGTGGTTATCTTATATTTTTTAAAATTTACTGTTAAAATAAAGCCATATATTTCATAGCTATGTAACCTGCATTTATATTTATAATTCTAATAATTTATGCTTAAGACTTACATTGCTCGCTTCTGTTTCGCGTGAATCTAATTAGAATGAATAAATCTGTCTGTCTATATATCTATCTATTCACATATGTCTGTCTGTCTATCTATTTATCAATATATCTATCTGTATTCACATCTATCGATCTATATTTGTTCACATCTATATATTTGTTCACCTATTTATCTATATTTGTTCACCTATTTATCTATATTTGCACACATCTATCTATCTATCTATCTTTTTTCTTTGTTTACATCTCTATCTATCTATCTATCTATCTATCTATCTATCTATCTATCTATCTATGTTTACATAACAATCTATCTATCTATCTATCTATCTATCGATGTTTACATATCTATCTATCTATCTATCTATCTATCTATCTATCTATATTTTTGCCTTTTCCCAAGTTGAATAATTTACCCATCAAATTCGTTGTATTTAGCTTATTGTTCTGAAAATTGTGTTTTATATCCCTTTTTTTTTGCTTAATAAGATATATAAAACCTGGCTTCATAGGATGATTAGATTCAGAGAAATGGCTACAAATATTCAAAATTGACGAGTGTACGAATAATTTCGTCGCTGACTCTCTCTCTCTTCCTCTCTCTCTCTCTCTCTCTCTCTCTATATATATATATATATATATATATATATATATATATATATATATATATATATGTGTGTGTTGTTTGCGTGTGTGTATCTGTGAGAGTGTGTGTGTGTGTGTGTGTACAATTTCCGGAAAAAAATCACAGATGCATACATAAATTAAAATAACAAAGGTCGAATGTAACAAACATTATGCAACACACATTATACATGCATGTTGAGTGTTGTTTAAGGTGTCTAATTTATCACATTTCATTAAGCATTCTTATGATTATGCATGTAAGTATATATGTAAGTATACGTGTAAGCGTGTATGATTTTTCAAGAACTCATCTCAGATACTGGGTGTGTTGTTATTTTTCAGGACGACGCTTAGTTTACTACAGACAGAAATTATTTTTGTGTTTTGTTTTCAGTCCTCATTAAATGGACCACTATTTCGTAATTAGTCAAGATTAGTATATTGAATTATAATCGGGGCCTAGAATAAATCTACTGTCTCTCTTGAAGATGCTCTAGCCCTCCACCATAATGAGGGCCAATTATGAATTGGATCAAATATTGATTTATGACGGAAAAAAAAAAATTGACTAATGTTTAGCTCTCGACTAAAATATGAACTAGACCGTTGCTTACAAATGAGTTCCAATATATCTAATTGTGAACTCAAGTATAAACGCTAGTAATATTTACATTTTGTCTCCGGAAAAAAATCTTCTAATTTTTAATTTTTATTTCAAGTATAAACACAAATTAAATTTACTTTTAAGTTAGGTATAAGTGTCAGCAATATGTATTTTGTAAATCAAATAAAAACTGACGAAGACTTTTGCAACAAAGAAATGGGAACTCGAATAATATTTAAATGATTACTGAGCTATAAACACAACCAATATTTAATTATTGGCTAAGTTACAAACCAGAAGAATTATTGTTTTGTATCTAAACCATATCGACATATTTCTACGTATTAAAGCATGTATATATTCGAGCAATATTTGTTTTTTGCCCAGGTATAAACCTGGCCATTGTTTACTTTTGATTCAAGTATATAAACGATCAGAATTTAATTTTTGACTGAAGTATATACTTGAAAAATTAAAAAAAACATGAGTATATACTTGAAAAATGAAACAAACATAAGTATATACTTGAAAAATAAAAACGTAAGTATATAACCGAACAGAATTTTCCTTTTTGACTCGAGTATATACTTGAAAAATAGTTCATATTTGACTCAAGTATAACCCCGCAATAACATATTTTGACATTAAGTAGCTCAAGAGAACTCGTTTTATCGTAAATTTCAACAACCCATGAATGATATAAGTTTGATACTCACCCATTCGACCTTACATGTGTAGAAGTATATTTTATAATATTTATACATTAATGTGTTCATGAGCCCTTCAGAAAATACAGTTCTTTATATACAGTATGATTGTAAACTTCTTTCAGAATAAAACAACATGTGACATCAGTTTTCTTACACAACAGCCAACACGGAATATTATCTATACTTTAGACTCAAGAAGCATCATATCCTGTATATGAATTACCTGTGCAATATACAGGGTGGCCTAGAAGTCACCAAGGCTTTTCAATATTTAATGTACATTTTATTTTTTGTTTAAAAATTGTGTTATTTTAGTAGGTAAGATATAGATGTGAGATTTATTTCCCCTAGGTGGGAAAGGTAATATCTTTTAAATGACATCCATTTTCCAATTTGCATATACGTCATTTTTCAAAGGCGTTTTCCATACCAGTCCTTAGGTCTTGTAGCTCCAGTGATCTAATTTCTCTCTAATATCATTTGTAAGATCTGCACGATCTTGAAGCTTGTTGACATATACTTTTTCCTTAAGATAAACCTATAGAAAAAGATCAGGATCGATTTGATCCGGAGAACAGCAGAGCCAATACATATGGGAAAATCTAGAAATTGATTTCTCAAAATTTCACAATATGTGTTCTCTGTCGAGTGTTATACCATTCCATGCTTAAATTTTAGCGTCTTCTTTATATAAATCGGAAACAAAATCAGAATTGAATAAAAGTTATAAAGTATTGAACCCCTTCGTGACATCTCGGCTACATTATATATATATATATATATATATATATATATATATATATATATATATATATATATAAGCACTTAGACTCTGAAGGATATATTCCAACAATGAAGAAATACATTGAAAATCTGGAGCATCAATTCACAGCTCTCCGTTGGTATATAATCCGGGTGTATCCTAGTAATATTAATTATTAAAACTGATCGACAGAGATCTCGATGATTTTTTTTATTTTCACCGAGCATATATATTTTTTATAGCAAATAGGGTGAGGGAATTTTTTTTTGCTGTGATATATATATATATATATATATATATATATATATATATATATATATATATATATATATATACGTGAGAAAGAATGTTATATAAAGACGTATATCTATGAGGGTAGTATATTTTTTAATGTAACCCACCTTCGGCTGTGATGGAAATTGAGTCCCTACACATTGATTGATTGATTGATTGATTGCAAGTCTTTATCGGAAAGAATGTGTTTGTAATCCAAGGCAATAAATTGCATTTCTTGGATTTTCAGTCCATCTTGAAAAATTGTCCTTCCTTTGGGATTGATGTTGGACTTTCATATTCTACACGCATGCGTAATTACATACTAAATTTCGTGAACAGGGAGAAGAGTGTTATCCAATAACTGTGCTGAGATTGATTCCTCAAGCCATCGGTTGACAACAAAGGCTTTATTGGAATTTGGATATCGGTTTCGCATTCAGGCGACGAAGTCGAATTTACTAATATGGAATTTGTCGTCCTTTTTTTCATATTACCTATCAGAGGATAAGAAAGTAGATCTGAAATTGAAAAACGACTCCTGTTAATCAATATCTACGTTCCACATGCATACACATACATGGAAACATACCTTGGTAATAAGAGGCCACATTTCAATGGAAGGCATGAACTACAAGTAAACTTTGGTGTAATAAAATATTTCTCCGCAAACTTTTATATACATATATATATTACACTGAGGTCAATGTGCAAGAGCAATTTCATACAAGTATATATGGTATGCTCTCTTCATGTTCACAATTGCCCAATATCAAAGCTGGAGGTCATGACTAAGTGGCAACCAACTCTTTCATGCTTGATAAACAATATATCTTGAATACCCCATTGTTCAACATAAATAGTTGAGCGACCACTTAACACATGGCCTGAAGATTACGGACTGATATCACTCGGTGTTCACATCAGTATGCGTGCCCACTCACACACACATACACACACACATATATATGTATATATATATATATTTATATATATATATATCTATATATATATATATATAGGCAGTGAGGTTAAGAACGAGTGATATCAGTGTTGACCTCAGTGCCCACTAATACATACATACATATATATATATATATATATATATATATATATATATATATATATATATATATATATATATATATGAGGGGCACTGATAGCAAAAACCGAGTGATCTCAGTCCGTTTCAGCTTGAACGTAAACTTCAGAATATGTGTGTCGAGAGGTAGCCCAACTATTCATTTATGTTATGTTGAACAATGACGCAGTAAGGTATCAACATCACACATTTCTTGTTTTATATATATATCTTTTGACAATGCGCATGAGTGAATAACAAACGAGATATATGTATATATGAGCCTTTCTAAAACACGCCGTTTATCATATTGATAGAAACAGAAGTATCGCCTTGTATTTGATAATTCATATTTATTCTGGATGCAAGATTCTTGCCCTTGTCTATGTACTTCATATCTTAGGTCCTGTACCAGTTAGAAGCCTCCAGTGTCCTCATGCCAAATGTGCCCAAAACATAAAAAAGGAATTCGCTGTTCAGAAGACGTAAATGGGATGGTGATTCCCAATGTAAACCCTTCAAGTAGGACGAGATGTTGCACTGTCGAAGTATGTTATCTCACAAGAGTTAATCAAGGAACTATACATTCAGTTCAAGTCGCCCGGAATAAGTTTGGTTTTCATACAATGAATGTAAATTCAACCACACGTCTCTTGTAGTTTAAATAGCGTAGTTTATAACGAGTATTTTTAGCACGTTAGTTTAGCCGTGGAGTGAGATACTGAACAAGAGAAATGTGACGTCCCCCGGTGTCGCTGCGCCAAATTTGACGTCTGCCTGGCCGCGCCTGCCGTGCTGACCTGGTCGCTGCACCAATTGTGACGTCACCCCGTCTGTCTCCGCGTCGTCTTCGTCTTATCCTGTCCCGTGACGACCAATGTGACTTGGTATTGGTCGCGGCACCAAATGTGACGTTCTAACCTTTTGCTGATTCGGATGGGAATCTAGTTAGATTCGCTATCAGCCTTGTCGTCCCCAGCTCACCTCCAACGTCTGGTTACCAAAGTAACTGTTTTGATTTCTAGTCTAACCTACCCACGTTGTGATTTGATCTTAGGTAGACGAAATCAATCAGTCGCCAGGCCGTAATGCAAGCCAATTCTGGACAAGGGTAACACCGCACAAGTATATGTAAAAGAAAATAAAATAATAACTCGAAAAGTTCAAATGTGTTAAAAAAAGGATAACAATATTTTATATCTGGTTTCTGATTACAGGACTGCATCTCTCTCCCAAACCGCTATATGGATTCGTGACACTTTGTGTTTGTTAGGCGTGTCTTAACATCTTAAGTCGTTTGTTTTTTAAGTAACTGGATCTTGGTGCATCTTCAGGCGATATTCGTAAAACTTGTTTTGGTGGTGCGAGTCTA